GGGCCTCCTGCCCTGCATCCTCTGTGCTCTCCATTTGTGAAGACCTCTCCTCAGCCACCCTTCTCCACAGTTGGTGAGTCTGTGCCCGCTTCCCTGGGGCCAACCCAGATGTCCTCCTCCCCCTGTCTTTGCTTCTCCCATGTCCACCAGGAAGGCCCTGCCTTTGCCTGTCCCAGCACCCCACCATGAGGTTCACCCTGCCCATGGAGTCAGGTGAATCAGAGTCAAGCAGCCAGAGCCTTTAGAGCCTTTGAAGGGAACTTTTGGTGACATAGATACTGTCAGCCCGAGGAGTCATAGCTGTGGCCTGAGGTCAGGATTGGACAGGCCCTGGGGCCATCAGAACAAGAAGGCTATCCTGACCAACCCCCTGTCTCTTTGGTAGCCCAAGCCCTTCCAAGCCCTGGGCTCCAGATACCAGGCAGGATGAAGGAGAGAGGGTTACAAGAGAAGCAGCCAAAGGCCAGATCATCTGTGAGGGCTTCCTAGAGGAGGAGTAGATCAGACAGGAGAAGAATGGGGCCAGGCCAGGCTGGAGAGGAGAGACTCACATCTGGAGAACAGATGCCCAGGCCTCTGGCTCCTGCCAGTTGGTTAGGTAATTAGGCAGAGGGCTAATTAAGGAAGTCCAGGTGTTCATTAAAATCTCCCTAATTGGGTTGGAGGGAAGCTTAGCCAGGATAGGCCACCACATCTTGGATAGGGTCAGGTTAGAGGGTACTTTGTGCCCACCTAGGCCCTGGCCACTCCTTCTTTCAAAGTCAGGGTTGAGTTCATGTTCTGGCCCCAGGGCTTTCAAAGACCCTGCAGCAATGTGGAATGGAGAGCAGAAGGAAAAAACGGTCAGTACAGACTGCGCCAGCTTTGTAGAAGGGTTTGTGGTTAGATAGAAGGAAGGACTGCCCAAGGCAGGGGCATCTCCTCCTCTGGCAGTGTTGGCACAGGGTTGGGAGCAGCAGTGGGGAAAGGGCCCTGGGAAGCATAGAAATATAAAAAGTGCTTTGGGCTACCTTGGTAGGGATTGAGTATAAATAGGGTCTGGTCTTTTTAACCCTGACTTCTCTCTGTCAGACGATGCTCAGTGAATCTCTGTGGCTTCCCTGCCTTCTCAGCCCTGATCCCTCTCTCATCCCAGCTCCCCCAGCATGAGGCGGGGGTGGGGGGGGCGGTGTAGGAGATCAGCCAGGGAGCTGGTTGCCAGGCGACAGTTGCCTAAGCAACCCCATCCTCTCCATCTCCATGTGCTCAGGGCTGCTCCTTAGAAGACTTTGGAGTCTCACCCTCTGCACCAGCCAACCTGAGGGTGGGGAAGGTTGAGGACTAGGATAGCAGGGGTGGTTGACGGGTGGATGGTGTCCAAATCTTCAGGAGCAGTTAGGAGAGGAAGGGTTCTAACTCCGCAGAGGATAGAGTGAGAGGAACTGGTACTGCAGCAAGACTGATGGAGGTTAGACTGCAAGAAGGACTTCTCACAGCATCACAACAACAAAGTCATATTTTCTTCTTTTCAACAGACATTTCCTGAGCTCCACCCTATAGGAGATAGAGTAGTGAAAAAGACAGATGTGATTCCTGCCCTCATGAAACTTCTGTCTCATGGAGAAGCCAGAAGCACAGAACTGTAATTATTCACAATTGTGATAAGTGCTAAAAAGATTGCAGGAGTGACTTTTCTGAGGGTCATGAGAACAAAGAGAGACCTCTTCCAGTTTGGAGGAAGAGGCAGTATTGGTCATAAGCTGACAGAGGTTACATCTCAGCAAGAATTTGTTTATGAACAAAAGGTGGTTCGAGGGAGATAGTAAAGGGGAGAGAGGGAAGGTGGATGCTGTAAGCTAGAGGAGCCCAGCAGTTCCTGCATTTACCAGTCTAGACTGGGTTTTCAAGGCCAGGCCAGAGAATCCTATTTAAAAAGCCAACTATTTGTAGCCTCCTCCTCTTACCCTCTGTGTCCCATTCCTTACCTTCCCTGCCAAAGCCCCCACCACTGTAGCTCTAGAAAGCACGGTCTTTGGATTGCACTGAGAAGCAGGGGAGCTGAAATCCCTGGGCTGGAGTCTTTGCAATGGGAACTTGGCAGACATTGGGGTCACAGGTGAGGAATGGGGTCTCTGGAGCTGGTTTGGAGCTCAGGTGTCTGCTGGGCCACTCAGGATTGGCTAGGCTGGTGTTGCTCTTGTCCCAGCATGTGCACGGGGTACCAGCAGGAGGGCCAGGGCCCATGGAGCACTTTGAGGACAAGGAGGAAGGGAGGAGGCCGGACAGGTGGCTCACACCTATAATCCCAGCACTTTGGGAGGCTGAGGCGGGAGGATTGCTTGAGCCCAGGAGTTCAAGACCATCCTGGGCAACATAGGGAGACTCTGTCTCTACAAAAGTCAAAAAATTAGCTGGGCATGGCAGTTGGTCCCAGCTACTTGGGAGATGGAGGCAGAAGGATCACTTGAGCTCAGGAGTTCAAACCTAGCCTAAGCAACATAGCCTGTATCTACTAAAAAAAAATTATTAATACCCTGTATCTACTAAAAAAAATTAATAAATTATCTGGATGTGGTGGCACACACCTGTGTTCTCATCTACTTGGGAGGCTGAGGCCGGAAGGTTGAAGCTGCAGTGAGCTGTGGTTGTGCACTCCAGCCTGGGCAACAGAGCAAGACCCTATCTTAAAACAAAACAAAACAACCAAAAAAAAAAAATCAAAAGGGTAAGGAGTCATTTGAAGAACAATGCATCTGATTGTTTTCTGTAGATATCCAGGCAAAGCAGAAACTCTCCAGCTAGGCTGGGGAGCAGTCTTGGTAATGGGGCCGGTATTCCCAGCTCCTCCCAAATTCATAGATTCCTTATCTTCCCTCTCCCGCTTCCCTCATGACCAAGAGACCAAGGCTGAACTGTAGCATCTACTGTGGTACCATAGGGGCCGTGTTGAGTGGGGCTGGAAAGACTCTAGGGAAACTCAGCAGCCATTGGCAGTGGGAGCTGGGGGGTAGAGGTAGGAGTTGTTCTCCATCATCAAACACCTCTACCCAGGTAGTGGCAGTGGGGTGCAGGGGATCAGAATAGTGGCTGGGGGTCTGCATCCCTAGACCCTGCAGTAGAGTCTCTGAGCATGGGGCTCTATGGAAGGGGAGCTCTGGAGTGGAGGGCTTGCCTTTTCTGGTCCAGGCTCCTCCCAGGACCCAAATAGAGTGATGTCAGAAAGCACGGGCCCCAGTTCACTGTCCTCTCCAGCATCTTACAGAAAGCTCCAGTTTTGGGCCGGGCGCGGTGGCTCACACCTGTAATCCTAGTACTTCGGGAGGCTGAGGTGGGTGGATCACCTGAGGTCAGGAGTTCAAGACCAGCCTGGCCATCATGGTGAAACCCCATCTTTTAAAAGAAAAAAAAATTTTTTTAGAAAAAAGAAAACTCCACTTTTGATGCAAGGAATCATAGCTGGAGGGGCCCTGAAGTCATTCTGTGCCTCCATCCCATCCTGGGCCCTTCTAGTCCTCGAGGACCCACCCAGCCTGTGTAGGCACTGCCCACACCGGAGAGCATGCACCTTTGCTGGCTCAGGCTGTGCTGCCATCCCTGAGCCTCCTTTCATCCTGTGGTGCCTCCTGGAGTTGTGCAGTGCAGGGGCTGTTTCTCATCCTGGCTTTTTAGCATGGAGCTGTTCAACCAGTGGGCTGTGAGGGGGTTACAGGTGTACTGAGATAGCAAGTTCTCTGCCTGCTGCCTCCATCCGCCTGGCTGCCAGTGGCCTCCCCAGTGTATGTCATTTGGCCCTATATTTTCTCTGTGCTTCAAGATGTACAAGATTGGGAAGCACTATTCTTAGACTGAGCTTGGGTTCTAGATGTGGCCCATACCTCTAGAGCAGGAATCAGCAAACTGTGGCCCGTGAACCAAATCTGCCCCGTGCCCATTTTTGCAAATGTAGTTGTATTGGATCACAGCCATGCTCGTGCTCATTCGTTTATGCATTGCTGTCTGTTGCTTTCATGGTACAATGACAGAGTTGAGTAGTTACAACAGAGACTGTATGGTCTGCAAAGCCTGAAATATTTACTGTCTGGCCCCAAAATTTCCATCTCCTGGTCTAGAGGAATGATTTCATTGTTTTGAGTGCACAACTCTTTTCTCAAACAAAAATCTTAGGCTGGGTGTGTCCGAAGGTAGCAAGTTAGCTCAATTGATTACTCACAGTCAGTTACAGATCGAACTCCTTGTTGGACTCTTTCCTCTTTTCTCACTACTACACTTGACTAGGCTTATAAAAATAAAAATAGGGGCGCACGCAGGTCCCTCCACGGCCCCATGCACCCCGCGAAGAAAATATATTTAAAAAAATAAATAAAAATAAAAATGTTAGGCTTCAGTTCGCTGAGTAGGACAGATTGGTGTGGAGGAACTCTAGTTGAAGGGAGATGTGGGTGCCATGACCCCAAGCCGCACCGCAGGACTCCAGGCCCCAGAGTTCCATGAGCCGGTATGAGGCTCACTGCTCTAGACCTGCTCCAACATGTTCTTGAGCCAGGGGCACCAGAGACACCCATACTGGCACCAGGTACACTGCTTGTTGTTCACTCACTGGGCAGATGTTCTCTCAGCATCGTCTTTACTCCAAGCTCCAGAATGGGAACCATTGTTCCAGGCCAGAGGAGCAGCTGGAGCACCCCAGTGTCTGTACTACAGACAGGTTCTAGAGAGAAGAATGGGCCATGGGATATTCCCTAAGCTCCAGACCCTTGGAAGCCAGGAGGTCACTTACGCTGACCTAGAGCCTGAGGACAGCAGTGACCAAGGGGAAAGAGCCTGGGCCTTGGTGTGAGCTCCAGCTTGTGCCTGGCTGTGGCATACCACTGCCTCAGGCAGACAGCATTGCCTCATTTTGAGGGTGGAGCTCAGATGCTGCTAGCCTCTCACAGGGGTGCTGTGAGCCTGGCCTGTGTGCCCAAGGAGCAGGTCTGGAGGTTGTAGGGGCTCAGCGTCCTCTCATGACCCTCCCCTTCCAGGAGGCTGTGCAGAAGGTATCCTGCAGACCATGAACTGAGCACTGTTCCCAGACCGTTCATGAGCACAGTGTAAGGTGTGCCGAGACCCACCACCCAGCAAGCCCCTCCCCTCCGTAGCACTGAGGACCCCCGGAGAAGATGGGGAGGAAAAAGATTCAGATCCAGCGAATCACCGATGAGCGGAACCGACAGGTAGGGAAGTCCTAGAGCCACATGAAGCAGGTGAGGGCAGGGCTCGGGCCTCGCCTCGGCTCCTTCCAGGCATTCCGAGAGGGCTTGTGGAAGAGGGGGAAACTCCATAAGCTATTACGGAAGGGGAAGGGAGATGGGGAGAAGAGGAACCCCAACCTCTTTGCAGCTCTTGAAACTCTGTGTCCCGGGACTCCAAGGCTCATCTGCTGCTGCAGCCAGATGAGCCTGTGTTCTCGTCCTGGAGCCGTATGCAAGCCTTAGGTCACACTAAGGCACTCCCCCTTTCCCAAGAGGAAATCTTTCCCTCTTCTTCTTCACTGACCTCTTCATAGCCTCCAGCACAGAGGCGTGGAGTTTGTCCACCTGAATCCTGCCCCTTCAGTGAGTGGGCTCTGGGCTGTATCTCCACTGTTTGTTGGCCTACAAGCACTAGCCTAGTCCTTCCCCAAACCAGAGACTCCTGAGACTAGGGGCTGTGTCACCCTGAGAATGGGGACTCCTGAGGGCAGGGGCTATGTCCAGCCATCTGTAGGCTGGGACTCCCAATCAGGCCTTGACTGAGCCAGACCTGGCTGCCCACTCATCCTTCTCTGCAGGTGACTTTCACCAAGCGGAAGTTCGGCCTGATGAAGAAGGCGTATGAGCTGAGCGTGTTGTGTGACTGCGAGATCGCACTCATCATCTTCAACCACTCCAACAAGCTGTTCCAGTACGCCAGCACCGACATGGACAAGGTGCTGCTCAAGTACACGGAGTACAATGAGCCGCATGAGAGCCGCACCAATGCAGACATCATCGAGGTGGGCCACACACACAGGCACCGGGACACCCCTGCCTGCATCCACATGGACATGCTGTGTGTACACACAGACCTGCCTGTGCACACACACCAGTATATGTGCCCCTGTAGCCCCTCACCTGTGTGCACACACATGCAAACCCTCCTCCTGTCACACAAACCCAGGGCCTGAGGAGGAAGGAAGGGCAGTTCAGGTGAACAGGCCAGTGCCAGGCTGCCAGCCCACACCCATCCTGCCCTCTCCGAGAGTCTGTTTTCTGTCGTCCGGTGTGATGTGACATCTCTGCCCTGCCTTCTTGCAACCTGGCTTTCTCTTTCTCTTTTCCCCCTTCTCCATCTTTTGGTGTGCTCCTGCACCTGCCTCTTCCTTTTTTAAATCTCCCTCTTTGTTTCCATCTCTCCTGCTGTCTCTGTCTGTTTGTGGGCCTGGCAGTTCTATTTTCTGTTTCAAAGAGAGCCAACATTGTGAACTGTTGAAGGACATAGGCCTTGGAATTCAGCTCTGACCTTTACTGGCCACATGGCCTTGGGCAGGTGCTTAGGCCTTCCCGAACCTTGGTGCCCACCTCCACAAAACGGGGCCAAGGCTGGCCTTGAAGGGTGCTGTGTGAATTGAATGTCCCTGCTTCTCACACTGAGGTGTGTGCCCCTTGGGGGTACACAACTTCTGCTGATGAAGAGGGTGCCCGGGAAGCCACAGCCCTACTCAGATTTGTAGGAAAGTCCCTTATTTTTATGTTAGAGAAGACAGATTTACTATAGACTAGAAGGTAAAATTTGCATTCATTTTAAAGACAAAGCGAGTATCTGTAGAGATATTTCGAACATGAAGAGGGCAGCTTTGGGGTGTACTGCAGACCCCCCAGCTGTGCCTCCACCAGAGTATGGGGTGGTCCGTGTTCACCCCCTTTTCCTTTTCCACATCCCATTCCACGCGCTGTCTCCATCTCTGTTTCTCTCTCCCTCCTCTTCTAAGCAGAGCCCCCTACCTTCCTCCCCCTGGAGAACTCAGTGCCTTCTGGCCAGGGTTCACCGCAGGGCAGTCAGGCAGGGACTGGCCCAGGGCACCAGCCCCTTAGCCCATCCCCTGGAAACCCCCTCCCTGCCTGTCCCTTTGAAAGTACATGTCTCCCTGCCAAGTGCACCCCCAGGTTAGACCCACCTTCCAGCCTTGTTCTCCATGTTCTGATGGCTCCCACCAAGCCCATCTTCCCACAGTGCCCCAGGAGGCACTGTCAGTGAGGAGGGGCAGGTGACATTGAGGGAGGGGCCAGGGAGATGCTGGGAACCCTGAGGAAGGAGGGCGGGGAAGAGTAGGGGGCCCTTAGGGAGGGGCTAGGAGGACTCTTACCCAGCTGATGGCAGTGGTGCGGTTACAGACCCTGAGGAAGAAGGGCTTCAACGGCTGCGACAGCCCAGAGCCCGACGGGGAGGACTCGCTGGAACAGAGCCCCCTGCTGGAGGACAAGTACCGGCGCGCCAGCGAGGAGCTCGACGGGCTCTTCCGGCGCTATGGGGTGAGCCCCACTCACTCTGTCTCTGTCGGCCCCCCCTTCCGGCCCCTTCCCCCCAGGCGCTGCACAAGAAGCACAGGGAATGTGAGAGCCCTGAGGTGGACGAGGTGTTTGCCCTGACCCCCCAGACGGAAGAGAAATATAAAAAGATAGACGAGGAGTTTGATAAAATGATGCAGAGTTATAGACTGGCCGTGAGTAGTCGCATGGAGCAGAGCCTCCCTGTGGTGCATGGTGTGGCTTCGCGCCCTGGCTCTCAGCTGCCCCCATGGGTGCTCCGCTCTGAGCCATGCTCGGGTTCCCAGTGACCACTAAGGAACCTCTCACCTTGGTCATGATAAACCTGCATCCCTTGCTGAGACTCGACTGGAATGGAGCATTAGTTGGAGAGGCCTGGAGTGTCCCCTCTGCAGCAAGAAGTGTGTAGATGACGAGATCCTTAGAGGACAGGAAAGTGGAGTGTGCTCTTTGTCCAAATGCTTTTTGGGGGAGAGGCCTGCCTGGGCCTGCTCTGATAGCCCAAGCAGAGACACTCAGCCTTGTGTAGGGAAAGCAGAACTGCTGAAGGGGAAGGCAGTGAGGTGGGGGTGAGCTCTCTCTGCAGCTGGCCGGATGGGTGAGAGACTGCAAGTGAAGTGATGTCCCGACCCATGGCGCAAGCCTTTAACAGCTGTGTGTGTGTGAATTTGGGTCTGTTCTCAGGACTTCTAACCTGCTCCCCGTGTGTCCTGCCTGGCTGAGGACTAACCCACCTCCACTAGGGGGTGTCCCTGGTCCTGTCTGCAGTGAGCAGAGCCCTGTTCTCATTCTCTGGGCCAGAAAAGGACCCACAGCTTTCCCTCAAAGTTATTCCTTGGTGGGAGTGGCGGGCAGGACTCTATGAGGGCACAGGGCAGGGAGCTTGAGCTGCTGGCCCCAGGATGTGTAGCCCAGAAATGAGAAGAACCCTGCCTGCCCTCCCAGGAAAAGTGGGCTCCATGGAAGGGGTCGATCTGGCCTGATCCTGTCCCTCCATCTTTCTGTCTAGTCAGCTGTCCCGGCCCCCAACTTTGCCATGCCTGTCACGGTGCCCGTGTCCAATCAGAGCTCACTGCAGTTCAGCAATCCCAGCGGCTCCCTGGTCACCCCTTCCCTGGTGACGTCATCCCTCACAGACCCGCGGCTCCTGTCACCCCAGCAGCCAGCACTACAGAGGAACAGTGTGTCTCCTGGCCTGCCCCAGCGGCCAGCTAGTGCAGGTGAGTTGGCTGGCAGGTGGGCAGGTGAGGTGGAAATGAGATGTGATGAGGTCTTTGAGGTTCCATTTTCAGTGGCGAGTATCTCTCTTCACCTACCACAGCATCCCCCCATTTGTGTGGCTCCTGAGGGAAGGGAATATGACTCTTCCTCCTCCTGGGGACCCCTCTTCATGTTCAGTCCCCAAGACTCACTCTCAAAAGGGGAGTGCTGTCAGCTCATCCTGGTTCTGTTTTTCCTCCAGGGGCCATGCTGGGGGGTGACCTGAACAGTGCTAATGGAGCCTGCCCCAGCCCTGTTGGTGAGTGCAGCCATCCTTCTACCTGGAGGTGGGGAAGGGTACCTGCTCAGTGGCCACAGGGGGTCCAAGGACCAGGAAGGAACCTAGATGAGAGGAAGATCCCAGGGCCAGAACTGGAGGAAGAGTCAGAAATTTTTAAGCCCCTGGATTTTGTTTTCTGTAGCAATGATTGGTGTGGATGATCAGCAGAGACGGAGGCTCAGAGAATTCTGAGTAAACCGTGAGAAAATGGGCCAGCATTTCTAGTTGGAGGGGAAGACGCAAGTTTTTTACAGTTGAGTGCAAGTATCTGGTTGGGATCTGAAGGATGAGAATGCCAGGCATTGCCTAGACAAACGATAGGGACAGACTCACATAGACACTCACACACACACGTGCATTCTCCCTCTTACAGAAGTATCCAGATGTTAGATGTGCACATGTGAGCACGCATACATAAGCCACAGAAGCAGCTGGGCATGGTGGCTCATGCCTGTAATCCCAGCACTTTGGGAGGCTGAGGCAGGTGGATCACCTGAGACCGGGAGCTTGAGACTAGCCTGACCAACATGGAGAAACCCTGTCTCTTCTAAAAATACAAAATTAGCAAGGCATGGTGCGAATCCTAGCTACTTGGGAGGCTGAGGCAGGAGAATCGCTTGTATCCAGGAGGTGGAGGTTACAGTGAGCTGAGATCACAGCGTTACACTCCAGCCTGGGCAACAAGAGTGAAACTCCATCTCAAAAAAAAAGCCATAGAAGAAAGGCTGTCCCCCTCAGCCCTGGCAGCAACAGCCCCTCTTGCCCTGTACTGTTGTCCGGCTGGGTGACTGTGACTTCGAATGTCACGATTGACGTCACCCTGACATTCCTGCCATTCCCAGAGTGATCCGGGAATTGGGATGGAGGCTGGCACACACTTCCAGGGCAACAGCGTGCTCTTAGGGGACAGAGCAAGGAGGCATTTCTGACTGCAGTCCCCCTCACATCCTTGGACCTCAGCATCCCCCAGCCCCATTTGGGGGTGCTATATAATCCCTCCCTGGTCATAATTGGGTCATAAAGTCAGGAAATTAAAGGAGCGGTGAATATGTCTCCTTCTTCAAGGAGAGGGCCAGAGAAATGCTTGTAGACCTTAAGGGAGCAGTGATACAAAAAGTCCAGCATGTGGAAAGTGGCCGAGAGCCCTTGCTTGGCCTCCAGCCAGCTGTGTGGCCCTGGGCAAGTCATTACACTTCTCTCAAGAAGGCTCTAGTTTCCTCTTCTGTGAACAGGGCTAATGTCCTGTCTGTCTTGCAGAGTTAATGTGTGGATTAAATAAGATAATACATGTGTGAAAGGCCTGTGTGGATTGTAGAGTATGGAGCAGATATAAAAGATAGTTATTACATTTGTTATTACCAGGCTAATTATGGTGGTGGCCCTGTTACCTGTCTCCCAGTGCCAATAATGCCATCACCAACAGTGAATGGCGTGTTTCCTCCAAGCTGTGGGCAGCTTGTCACATGTTGATCCAAATCACATCGACCACTGCTCACAGCACGTGGAGCAGTCCGAGCGGTTGTTGATTTGTCATGGTGACCAGGCTTCTCACTGAGGCCCAGAATCCAGGCTGCCACCCCTTCCACACCCGGGTCATGGTGGGTCCTGTCTGGGGCAGACTGTGGGATCTGAAAATGCTAGACTTCCTGCCTGTGGAGACCAAAGAACAGAGAGGACAGGGAGAGGCTTTGTCATCGCAGAGCCTAGAGGCAATGGTTGCTTTTCAGTTCTTCCCACTGACCTCAGAGTCCCATCACCAAGCCCCATTACATGTAGCTTGGAGTTAGGGGAACAAACCTAAAGATTCAGGAGTAAGGGGTACTCACCTCCCATTACTCCAAAGACATGAAGTATTTGGGGAACATCTGATAGCTCAGCCCCCACTCAAAGCCTTAAGCATGGCTTTGAGAGGTTCCGGGTGACAGGAGCATTGGTGTGGGGAAGTTAACAGGGCTGAAGGGTAGGCCCATGTTTTTCCTTTTACCCTCATGTTGTCACTTCTCCAGGGAATGGCTACGTCAGTGCCCGGGCTTCCCCTGGCCTCCTCCCTGTGGCCAATGGCAACAGCCTAAACAAGGTCATCCCTGCCAAGTCTCCACCCCCGCCCACCCACAGCACCCAGCTTGGAGCCCCCAGCCGCAAGCCCGACCTGCGAGTCATCACTTCCCAGGCAGGAAAGGGGTTAATGCATCACTTGGTAAGTGGGTGTCTGGGCCAAGGGCGGGGGCTGGGGAATGGAAGAGTAAGGACGGGGAAAGAGCAGACCTCTAGCAGGAGAGATGAAGGCTAGCCAGCAGTTAGGACTTCCCAAGAGGGATCATGGAAGCATGGCTTTTTATGAGCTCGTTCTTCCCAGAGGGCCTTTTAAGAGGTTGCAACACAAGAAGTACCAGCCTAAGGCAGTAAAAAGGGACAGGAGGTAAGAAGGAAGGTTCTGTGATGGGGAGGATAATAGAAAGGATTTGTCACTTCAGCAGGAGGGATGGAGATTAGATGGTGAGCATTTCCTAACTGGTGGAGATTGGGATGGAGCAGCTCTGGAAATCAGTCAGGACAGTGAAGAGCTCTGCCTTTGTAGGTTGGGTAGAGCCATCCCACTCTTATGAAGAGAGGTGGATGGAACGGCTGTGGGGACAGAGGTGTGGGGTGGGGCAGAGGCCAGAGACTGAACATCCCCTTGGTTTTATTTCTGCTCTCAGACTGAGGACCATTTAGATCTGGTAAGTGAGGCTATGAGCTGTTTGCTGTGGCTTTGAATTCTGGGTATTGCTCTGTAGTCCCCGAGCATGAAGTACATGTGCGTCCTTGGCCTCTCGCCTGTTCGTGGACTGTTGCTGTTTCTTTGCTTAGTTGCCAGGAGCTGTGCTTCGTGCCAGGTGGGATTCAGAGGTGTAGGGGGCGGGGGTGAGAGGTCAGACATGCGTGTGTGTGCCTGTGTGTACATGAATGTCTGCATGTGGTGTTATGTTCATTCAGACACACCTCCTTCTGTGTGTATGTACGTGTGCGAGGGGGAGTGGGCCAGCCCCAGGGCTCAGAGGTCCCACCCAGATACCTAGACTAGGCCCTGGACAGGGGGACTGGATCCCATAGTCCTCTGACTCCACTCAGGCTCACACTGCATTCTTGGGATCCAGGACAGGATCCGCCTTAGGAGGGAGGCCAGCTGGATGGTGAAGTCGGTGTTTCAGGGGAAGCCAAAGCCCAGGCCCAGGCTGGACTTGTCCTTCTTGGTGGGGCTTCCCACCTCCCTCGTGTCCCCGTGCTCCCTCCTGCACTTAGCCCATGGCATGGGCACTCAGAGGCAGTCACAGCTGCTCATTTTCCTCCTCGCTCTCACACACTTACATACTCACCCCCAGCCAGGAGTGGGGCGGGGGCTCCTCCCTCCCCAACTCCCTGACGGGAGGCCAGAGAGGCTGGAAAAGGCAGGCAGGCTTTGGCGGCCAACACGGCGGCAGTTTCGGCCCCAGCGTGGAGTTGGAATAAACAAGTGACTCAGCGGCAGATGGAGCTGACAGCCCCACACACGTGTGTGCATACGCGCAGGCACACGCCACGCCAGGCCCCACATTCCCCTTGCAGATGCCAGCACGCCTCTGCCGGGGCGTGTGCAGCAGTGTGAAGGATGGAGAGTGGGCTCCTGAGGGACGGATGGACGATGTCTCCCTTCCCTCACTCTGCACTGGGAGGCTGGGCGAATGTTGGGGCTGAGGCCACAGGGCCGGCACACGTGCTTTCGTTTTTGCACGTGTGTTGGTGTCAGTGAATCTGTGTGTGCATGTTTCTCTCCATGGATCTGAGTGTCTCTGTGAATGCACCAACGTGTGTTTGTGTGTCTGGGGGGGGCCTCCATGCTAAGGCACCCCACCTTGGCTTTTGGATTCAGGGACCTCACCTTGGGCTTGGGATGGAGGGCCAGCATAAGACTGCCCACCCATCAGCCACCTCCTGACAGACAGTTTTCTCCTGCAGAACAATGCCCAGCGCCTTGGGGTCTCCCAGTCTACCCATTCGCTCACCACCCCAGTGGTTTCTGTGGCAACGCCGAGTTTACTCAGCCAGGGCCTCCCCTTCTCTTCCATGCCCACTGCCTACAACACAGGTGAGTGTTCATGTGACATGTGCATGTGTGCACTTGGGCTTGGGGCTGGCAAGTGACCAGACAGAAATGCTCTATATCCCCTGGACAGGCCCCATCTGAGGAGGGCCATTGATTTGGGGGAGCCCTCACCTGATTATGGTAAACAGATTTAGCAAATAAAAGCACAGAATGCCTTTAAATTTAAGTTTCAGATAAAACAAGTAGTTTTTTAGTACAAATATGTCCCAAAGGCATTCTTCTGCTAATGTATGTCCCAATGACATATTTAATTTGGGGGGTTTTGTTTTTTTGTTTTGAGACAGGGTTTCACACTGTCACCCAGACTGGAGTGCAGTGGTGCCATCATAGCTCACTACAGCCTTGAACTCCTGGACTTAAGTGATCCTCCTGCCTCAGCCTCCTGAGTAGTTGGGAGTACAGGCACGTGCCCCCATACCTGGCTTTATTTTAAATTTTTTTGTACAGACAGGGTCTCTCTGTGTTGTCTAGGCTAATCTCAAATTCCCGGTTTGAAGCTGTCCTCCTGCCTCACTCTCCCAAAGTGCTGTGTTACCAACTGCCCAGAACCAAAGATATACTTGTGCTAACAAATTATGTTTTGTTTCATCTGAAATTCAAATTTAACTAGGCATTGTGGGGGTTCTTTGTTTTTGTTATTTTTTTTAGCGTCTCGCCCTGTCACCCAGGCTGGATTGCAGTGCTGAGACCTTGGCTCACTGGGTTCAAGTGATTCTCCTGCCTCAGCCTCCTGAATAGCTGGGATTATAGGCACATGCCACCATGCCCAGCTAATTTTTGTATTTGTAGTAGAGACAGGGTTTCGCCATGTGGTCTGGGCTGGTCTCAAACTCCTGAGCTCAGGTGATCCACCAGAGTGCTGGGATTACAGGCATGAGCCACCATGCCTGGCCAGCATTATTTATTTTTAAAATAGTACCTAATGGAGAAGGGACCCCCTGTCTTCAGGGAGCCTCCAGCCTGAGGAGAAGACAAGACAGGGGCAGGTGAGCAGGTGCTTCGGCCTGACCAGTCTCTAGGCTTCAGGTCTGGGGAGTGGTGAGGGGAACGTGGTCAGTTCAGAAAGGCTCCCTGGAAGAGAATGAAGGAATGAGGGAGAGAAAACAGGGAGGCTGAGGAGGCCAGAGAGAAAGCACAGTCAGGGTCAGTTTGCCAGCTTCCTGGGAAAGCCAAATGGGGGTTCCAGGGCAAGGCAGAGGGGGAGGAAGAGGGTCTCTCCTCTAATTTTGGCATGGTGGTAGAATGATGAGGGAGCGAGGAAGGAGGAAGAGGGGGGAAGGTTGGAGAGCGGGATCTGAAGGTAAAGAGTCACTTGAGGACATGAGAAAGGCGTCTGGACACAAGAATTCAGATAGGACACCCAGTGCCTGGGCTGTCCTGAGTCCCTAGGACCATCCTGGCCTGTGTCACGTACTCACACCTGCCCAGAAACAGTCTGTGACACTCAGCCATCCTTGCCTGTACTCTAAGCCACTGTGTTAGGAAGGAGTTGCCAAGGAGGAAACACCTTGTCCCCTTGTTCCAGAGCATTCATGTGGCTGGAGAGCCTGGGCCGTTTCCAGATAGAGACCTCTGCCTTCCCCAGGCTCTCTCACATGTGAATGGTTTTGTCAGGCCAATTCCTATGAATAGTTTAGTCTGGACCAAAAGACCCATAAACCTCTCCCCCCTTCCCCAAGCCTCCTAGAGTTGAACCATGCTAGGTACCAGACACCAGTGCAAATACCCACCAAATCCCACCTCCTCCCCATATGTAAAAATCCAGAACCCAGCCCTCTGCATAGCAAAGCCCCTCATGGCTGGTAAGACAGCTGGAAGGACTGCCTCTTGTTGAGGAACCAGACTCCGGCTTGGGTGTCTGTGTGTAGTTACCACCCAGGTGTCTGTGCATCCCTTCTCCCTTGCATGTGCACCCATGTGTGTGCCCAGCCCCAGGCTACTATGTCCTGGCAGCTTCAGAGACGGCTGCTTCAGAAGACACACCCTGTGGGCTCGTCTCCCCATCTGTAAGAGGAGTGGGTAGACAGGAGGACTTTGAGGCTTTTCCAGCCCTGCCACTGGGGCTCTGGGGTCCAACCAGAAAAACCAGCCCTGAGGGTGGGGTGGCCTGGACAGGGACAGTTGGTGGAGAGCAGCTCAGACCACTTTTAGACCACTTTTCTGGAGCTGTTTATTATGGGGGGGGGGGTTCTGTTTTTTTGCTGTCTTCTTGGGCCCACAGTCTTTGTGAAGCAGGAGAAAAGTTAGCTGGTGTCAGCCAACCTGGGACAGGCACTCAGGAAGGTTAGACTTAAAGATTCTCATCTGTCACTTTGGCATGAAAGCAGTTTCCACCCCTAGGCCGCCCTTGGAGTCCTGCTGGGAAGTGTCTGAGGCTTCTTATAAACTTTCAGAGAGCAAAGGCTCCCTCTCCTTTTGCTGCAGGAGCAGCTAAGCAGATCTCAGTTTAAACACCAGGTGTTTTCAGGTGATCCTAGGTGTATAAACAAAACCCCAGTGAACACATTGCTGTTTAGTTGTTCACTGTTTACAGTCCTTGGCTGCAGTTCAAGTTCCGGCTGGAGGTAATCGGACTATGGTAATGCCTCGTGTAAGGGCCTGGCCTCTTGTTGACACCGGCTGCATAGGCCTGGCTGTGGTGGCTCTGGGAGCAGACCAGGAGGCTGCCAGGTGGCCTGGGGGCCATGTTCCTCCTGGTCCTGGGGAGCCAAGCCTCCCAGTAGATAGGGCTGGAATCTGGTGGGACAGTGCAGGGCTGGGCGTCAGTCTCCACCACTCACTCACTGAGGGACTTTAGGCAAGGCACTGCACTGCTCTGGGCCTGGCTTCCTAGTTTGTAAAACAAGTGTTAGAAATAGTTGACTCTCTTACTGGATGGCAAGTCTTGAGTGTAAAAAAAAGAGAGAGAAAAAAAAAATAGTTGACTGTAGGGCTCGTTTCTGCCCTTGCTTGCTTTTTAAATATAAGCATTTCAAAAGTCCTGGCCCACGTGAGGATACTAGAACCAAGCACAGACTCCTCTAAAGTGTGATTTAAAGGGAATGGAGTTCTGGGGTCCTGTCTTAGCTCTGCCAGTGGCTTCCTCCGCTCTCCGTGACCTGGAGCCGGTTCCTCAAACCTGAGGCTGCCGTTGCCTCATTTGTAAAGTAGTAATAGGTAAATCTTTGGATTATTTTTCTGTGGACCAGACACTGTTCTACATGCTTTCTGTGTATGAACTTGCTGAGTCCTCACAACAGCTGTTTTGTAGGTAGGATTATTACCTCCAGTTTATAGGCAAAGTCAGTAACTTGCCCAAGGTCACACAGCCTAAGTGGAGGTAGCCCGGAAGTTTGACCTCATCGCTCACGCCTTTAACCTTATTGCTGTATTGCAGAGAGAATGCCATCTTCCCTGAATAAAAACAGCACCAGAGCAAATGACTCCCTGAGTAATAGCATAGTGGTGGGGTGTTGGGATGGCTGAAGGATGCGTTCCCATCACAGCACTCCCACTACCACAGTGCAGCCTCAGGGAGAACATTTTCTTTCTTTCTTTCTTTTAAGCAGAGTCTCACTCTGTTGCCCAGGCTGGAGTACAGTGATGCGATCTCTGCTCACTGCAGCCTCCACCTCCCAGGTTCAAGTGATTCTCCTGCTTCAGCCTCCCAAGTAGCTGGGATTACAGGTGCGTGCCACCACGCCCGGCTAATTTTTTGTATTTTTAATAGAGACAGGGTTTCACCATTTTGGCCAAGCTGGTCTTGAATTAGGGAGGACATTTTCTAAACCATCCCAAATAGGATACAGCATGAAACATAACAGTGCTGTGTAAATCGTGAAACATTCCGTGATCCTGTTTACTCTGTGACAGTGTAAACGTCAGTTTGTTCTTTCAGGTAGACATTGTATGAATTAATGAGTGCCCCCTCATTGGGAGACCTGCTAGAACCTTGGCCAGCTGTGCTCCCAGCTGTATGTGCCCTTGCAGCCCCTCTACCCCATGTGCATGAGGCCTCAGGGGCTAACTTGTGTTCCTCTGTGGTTTTTTTTTTTTTCATCGCTGTTGCCCAGGCTGGAGTGCAGTGGTACGATCTTGGCTCACTGCAACCTCAAGCAATTCTCCTGCCTCAGCCTCCTGAGTAGCTGGGACTACAGGCACATGCCACCATGCCCGGCTAATTTTTTTTGTATTTTTAGTAGAGATAGGGTTTCACCATGTTGGCCAGGCTGGTCTCGAACTCCTGACCTCGTGATTCGCCCACCTCAGCCTCCCAAAGTGCTGGATTACAGGCGTGAGCCACTGCACCCAGCCTGTGTTCTCTGTGTTTATGTGTGTGGGCACAGCAGCTCAAACCCTGTTGCTATAAATTTTAGGTACTGACAGTCAAGGAGGCTTGGGGGCTGTGCCATAGGTGGAATGGTAGTTGCAGTGATTTGCCTCTGAAGCCCTATCCGCCAGGCTTTTACCAGGGCTCCCCACTACCTTAGAAAGGCAATTGGAAGGCCGAGGGTGGTGGCTCAAGCCTGTAATCCCAGCACTTTGGGAGGCCGAGGCGGGTGGATCACGAGGTCAACAGATCGAGACCATCCTGGTCAACATGGTGAAACCCCGTCTCTACTAAAAAAATACAAAAAATTAGCTGGGCATGGTGGCGTGTGCCTGTAATCCCAGCTACTCAGGAGGCTGAGGCAGGAGAATTGCCTGAACCCGGGAGACGGAGGTTGCGGTGAGCCGAGATCGCGCCATTGCACTCCAGCCTGGGTAACAAGAGCGAAACTCCGTCCCAAAAAAATAAAAAAAATAAAAAAATAAAAAAAAAAAGAAAGGCAATTGGAAGGCCGAGGGTGGTGGCTCACACCTGTAATCCCAGCACTTTGGGAGGCCGAGGTGGGTAGATCACCTGAGGTTGGGAGTTTGAGATCAGCTGACCAACATGGAAAAACCCTGTCACTACTAAAAAAATAAAATTTAGTCGGGCATGGTGGTGCATGCCTGTAATCCTAGCTACTCGGGAGGCAGAGACATGAGAATTGCTTGAACCTGGGAGGCAGAGGTTGTAGTGAGTCAAGATCATGCCACTGCACTCCAGCCTGGGCAACAGAGTGAGAATCATTCTCAAAAAACAAAACAAAAACCACATCTTTTCATCCTGTTAAAAAAAACAGCACAAGCCGGGCGCGGTGGCTCAAGCCTGTAATCCCAGCACTTTGGGAGGCCGAGGCCGGTGGATCACGAGGTCAAGAGATCGAGACCATCCTGGTCAACATGGTGAAACCCCGTCTCTACTAAAAAAATACAAAAAATTAACTGGGCATGGTGGCGTGTGCCTGTAATCCCAGCTACTCAGGAGGCTGAGGCAGGAGAATTGCCTGAACCCAGGAGGCGGAGGTTGCGGTGAGCCGAGGTCGCGCCATTGCACTCCAGCCTGGGTAACAAGAGTGAGACTCCGTCTCAAAAAAAAAAAAAAAAAAAAAAAACAGCACCTCATGGTTATTATGACTTAGGTTTCTTCAACTCTGAGTACCATCGTCACTGAATTTTTATGGTCTTCTTGAATTCTTTACATCTGTCATTACATACTCCCTGTCCCCTCATCCCCACAGTCCTCCTGGAGGCAGCTCCCTCACAGGAGCCTGTGTGCTCTCCCCGACTCCAGGTTCATCCTCACTTTTCCTCCATGCAGATTACCAGTTGACCAGTGCAGAGCTCTCCTCCTTACCAGCCTTCAGTTCGCCTGGGGGGCTGTCGCTAGGCAATGTCACCGCCTGGCAGCAGCCACAACAGCCCCAGCAGCCGCAGCAGCCACAGCCTCCACAGCAGCAGCCACCGCAGCCACCGCAGCCACAGCCACAGCAGCCTCAGCAGCCGCAGCAGCCACCTCAGCCACAGTCCCACCTGGTCCCTGTATCTCTCAGCAACCTCATGTGAGTCCTGGGGAGACTCCATGTGAATGTGTGGGAAGGGAGAATTGAGGAGCGGAAAGAGGAGGGGCCTCTGGGGAGCTGGGTTCCCTGCAGGGTTCTAGCGGACATCCTGTGAGGATGTGCACCGCACAGTCTGTTAGGCAATAGTGACAGCGCTGGGGTCTCTTGGACATGCCAAGGAGGCTCACCCTGAGCCCCTTCCATGAGCTAGCCCCAGGGTAGAGGGTGGGAGGTGGGGGGGGGCCTGGGTTGCAGAAGATGACACAGGATGGAAAGAGAACTAATATTTCTTATTTCCCTTTTCTTCCCTTCATTCAACCCTCTTCTGATCTCTCTCCATCCAATTGCCTCTCCCCCACACCCCATCCCCCATATTCTTATCCTCTGTTCTCTCTCACTTTCTGTCTGGTGTCCTTCTGTCACTCGTTCTGTCACTCACTCCGTCTGTTTCTATCCCTTGTACCCCATTTCCACTGCTTGCCTCCAGCCCGGGCAGCCCCCTGCCCCACGTGGGTGCTGCTCTCACAGTCACCACCCACCCCCACATCAGCATCAAGTCAGAACCGGTGTCCCCAAGCCGTGAGCGCAGCCCTGCGCCTCCCCCTCCAGCTGTGTTCCCAGCTGCCCGCCCTGAGCCTGGCGATGGTCTCAGCAGCCCAGCCGGGGGATCCTATGAGACGGGGGACCGGGATGACGGACGGGGGGACTTCGGGCCCACACTGGGCCTGCTGCGCCCAGCCGCAGAGCCTGAGGCTGAGGGCTCAGCTGTGAAGAGGATGCGGCTCGATACCTGGGTACTGTAGCATCACCTCTCCTGTCTGCCAGTGTCTGCTACACCCAGGGACTGCCCCGCGTGCCCCCAACCTGTTTTGTTTCCCACTCAAGAGGCCTTGTGGCCGGCTAGCCCTTCGCCAGTCCTTCTAGGGCAGCACCAACACCCCTTCACTCCTGCCAAAGGCCCGTCTTCTCCCTCCCTCCAGCATCAGTCCTTCTGCTCGATGACTGCCCCTCCCCCACAGCTGGCCCTGCCACTAGAATCCCGGCCCTATGGGGAAAGGGGAGTGGGGGGTGCACACCCGTAGCCTGGGCCACTCCCTCACACCCCCTTCTCCATCTCCTCTCTTCACAGACATTAAAGTGACGGTTCCCACTCCCCTCCTCTCAGCCTCCCTGATGAAGAGTTGACAATCTCACCGCCCGCCCTTCCCTGCCCCGGGCTCCTCCCGCTCGACCCCCACCTCCTTTCTTGTGCTCCATGTCCTGTTGACGGTTACATTTGTGTATAATTATTATTATTATATTATTATTATTATTATATTTTTTTTAATTTGGATTCTCGCTTTGGAGAGGGGGATGCTCTCATCCCCTTTTTCTGTCCCCCCCACCATTTTCACTGGCTGGGGGGCTCTGTTTTTCGCGGGAAGGGGGGACACTTTGCACGTTGTACACATATGCTGCAGGAAGGGGGTGCGGGGCCCGATAGGCCTTGGGGAAAGGACAGGTGCCGAGCCCTGCATGTGGAGCCCTCCCACCCCATCCCCCAGATAGAGGGAAATAACCAAAAAACTACCAAACAACAAAAGAAACCCACACTATAGACTGAAACCCCAAAGTGGGCTTGACGGGTGGGTTTGTGTCTCAAGGGGAAAGTGAGGCAGAGGTTCTGAAAAGGGTCTCTGTTTCTGGGTTCATGTGGCCATAGGCACATGGAGCAGAATACTGAAGCCTGGCCCCCAAATGCCCTGCACACACGTGCCACACCTGTGCTGATTCTTGTGTGTGCTGCACCCCCAAGGTGTGTGGGTGCTGGCTGAGCTTTGGGCTGGGAAGGCAGCCTGGGGAATCTGAGGCTGGGGATGGGTTCGAGGTGAGGGCCTCTCTGGAAGCACATTTGGAGAGAAAGACAGAGCCATGAGGAGAGGGCTGTGGAGGGCAGAAGGGCTAGGCAGGGGGCAAATCGGGCCCCTCCCTTCCCCAGCTTTTCTCTAAGATATACAGTGCAATAGCTCCCCGCCCCTCGGTTGATGCCAGCCCTGTAAAGCTGGCCACAATGTGCAGGGAGAACCGGGAGAGGGTCTTCAGTGAGGTGGCTCGGGGCGAGAGTTGGCCTGGACCTCCCTGGGGTGATCCAGGCCAGAGCTCTTTCATCGGGGCAGGTGTGGTGAGGGGATGTCCTTGGCCTTGCACGCACACTACCTGGGGGAGTGGACACTGGGATGGTCTGTGGGGTGGGAGGTCCGTAGAGGGCCCACCTCCCTCATTCCGCCTCACCCCCTCTCCCTAGCTTCTCCTGTTAGCTCCTTCTGCTCCTGACCCCACCTCCTTGCTCTTGGTGCCCCCATTGTCTCTCGCTACCTCCTTGTCCCACCACCTCTAGGCCGCATCCCACCTTCCCTCTTGGCTACTGTAATTGTAAATAGCGACCTTTGGAAAATGTTAGCGGTGTAACAGTCCAGGAAACTGTTTTTTGTTGTTGTTGTTGTATTGATATGAAATGAGATTCTATTTTTGTCAAAGTATATTGTAATAATAATGACTCAAACGGCCCGTACTGTACAGACGAGATTCTTCTGCTGTTGTTCTTGCTCCCCTCCCCTCCTCTGAGTCCGCCCCTCTCTGCTGCCTCCTCAGCGGGGCAGTGGGCAAGGGGCCCAGGGGGCAGCCGAAGCACAGAGTCCTGAGACCTCAGGCAGGATCGTTGATTAAACCGGAGGGGGCAGGCCCCCAGCCTGCTCTCTAGGACCACCCCCCGCCCTAAGGGGCCTGGCCTGGGGTGACGTGGGCAGACAGACTGCACCACTCCTTCACACAAGCCCAGCTCCTCTGCCCAAGGGGTGCGGTGCTCCCTTGGGGTTTCCTTCCAGTTGGAGAGTAGAGTTAGACAAGGCCCAGTTTTGTTAGCCGACCATCTTTGCCCACCTCTATGACCCAGCCTCTTGCAGTATTTCCATACTTGATGCAGGGAAGGAACCAGAGCAGAGGGGCCTGTGAGCACACATGTACCTGTGCTCATGAGGACATCTGGTATTTATGTGTCTGAGTGTAGCTTTGTATTTATGTGTGTGTGCGTGCGTGTGTCTGGTTGCATGGGTGTACCTTTGTATTTATGTGTGTGTCTGGTTGCACGGGCGTGCCTCTGTGTGTCTCTGAGCCTGGCTGGGCGTGTGTGTGAGTCTATGTGACTGGAGCTCTTGGGGTATCTCTGCGTCTGTGTGTGGCTGGTGTGTGTTTACAAAGGGACGGTTGGCTGTTCCAGCTCCACACCCCTGGCTTCAGCTCTCTGACCCCCACTCCCGTCTTCCCTGCTCCTTTCCTCGAGCTCACCCTCAACTCTGACGCATTGAACTGCAGTTGGGGGAATTGGCAGTTGGCCCTCTGTGCTTCTCCCTGCAGCCCTACCTCTGCCAGGGCCTCTCCCTCCAGGGACTTCTGCTTCCACCCACAGTTGTCCACTTAGTCGCCCACACGTGACACACAGTTCCTGGAGTACCCTCTTCCCCTAACCCCAGACCTGCTTTCAGAGTGAAACTCAAGTCCCTTTTCCTCCCTGAAGCTTCTCCCTCAGCTGAGCAGTGATCTGTTCTTACTCACTCTTAACCCCAACCCGCTGACAGGGTGGGGACAGCACATCCAGCCTTCCCACCTCTCCTGCAGGCATCTAGAGGGAGTTTCAAGAACTGGCAAACCTCGATCCAGGCCTTGACAGAAGCCAGGGTGTAATCTTGTTCATTCATGCATCCGCAGAGCCTCGCCCAGTGCCTGGCACATAGTAGGCGCTCAATAAATGCTGAATGGGTGAATGGTTGAATGATAGGTGCTCAGTAAATGAATGACTGGCCTTCCCTTCTCAGGCTGTTCCCACCATTAGTCTGCCCACCTTTCTAGGCTGGGCTTGGCCACCATTAAACACAGGGCCCCTGCAGTTCACGGTGCAATATTCACCAGTTTTGCCCTCTGCCTCATAAAGGCAAACCTGGCTTTTGATTACCATGTGTGGATGTTTCTGTGTCCTTTCTTCTCTGTCCCTGGGGACGGGGTGGTCTGTGAATATGTGACATTTCTGCAGTTCAGTATCCGAAGGTTTCTTTAGGGGTAGGGGCTCCTGGGCGGCCAGATGACTGGGTCCCTGGGACGCCAGACCTCAGATGGGGACTTAATGTCTTCTTCCTCTCAAGCCAAATTCGCCTCCACCCACTCACTCCCTTTGAAAAACTGGGCATTTGCCAAAGTAACCACTGGAGTCATCTAATGGCCCTCCCCTCCCCAGGTTTCCCACAGCTTTCAGGGACAGTGGGCAAGAGGACCCCACCACCACCACCACCACCTCAGTGGAACACACCATCCTACCCCTCAACAGCACACTCAGTGCAGCGAGACTGACCCCTGACCCCTTCCCAGCCCTCCCCATCTTGGACAGGAAGGAAGTAATGCACCTTCTCTTGCTGATTATTTATTTGTTTGGAGAGACAGAAATGTAAAAGTGTATCTAGAAATATCTATATCTATATATTTTTAACTGACTCTTTGGAATCCCTTGGGGTGGGGTGAGGGGTAAGTTTAGGCTTTCTTGGGAGGGGAAAGACAGGGAGCCTGGGAACTCTGTGTTCTCCCCTCTGCTGCCTCTCCCCACCCCTTAAAGCGGTTGGTAGAAGGAATGGCATTTGTATGGGGGGAGGGAGGCTGCAATGGAGAATCTGGATTCTCTCCTCTTCCCCATTCAAGTCCCAGAGGGAGGGAGGGGGTGAGAAAGAGGAAGGGAGGGGCAGGACGGGCCATGGAGGTGCCCCACCCCCACACCTGACAATCACCCACACTCCTGGGGCTCTTCCTGGGTCCTGGGGCAGGGAGAGTCCAAGTGTGAGGCTGTTGATTTGTTTTCAATATTTCTTTTCGTGCTGTATGGTGATGCTTTCTTAGTATTCTACACAATAAGAAAAGACAAAGTCCTCGAGATTCTTATGAGTTTTGTTTGAAAACTCTTTCACTATATTTGTTGTAAAGAGGTTTACTATTAAAAGAAAAAGAATACACGTTTCTGATACTTCGGCGTGGGTTTTGGTTTCTTTGGTGCGGCTAGGACGGGAAGGAAGGACTGGTGTGGCCCCGTCAGGGTGAGAGGCAGCACTTCACCTCAGCAGGGAAGAATCGGGGGTGGCCTGCAGGGCAGGGCACTTCCACATGTCTCAGGTGGGGTTTTCAGGTGAGAATTTCTTCTAAGTGTTCTGTCAGAAGGAGGCAGCCCCAGCCCCGCACTACGGAGGGGTTGCCCAGCTAGAAGCCTCAGGAGGGATTCTGGGACACAGAAACAGAACCACCACCCAAGGTTGGGTTGGAAACAGAATGGTGTTGGGTGTGGGACTGTGGCACTGTGAGGACCTTTGCGGAAAGCCTTCCTCTGCAGAGACTTGCCTGGGCACCGTGTTATGCACAGGTGGATTCCACCCTCATGGTCCTCACAGCATGGTTCCCTACAGCAGGGGACGCCACTCTTGCCCTTTTAAAGTGCTTTAACAGTGCCAAGGAGCCTCTCTCTCCCCTCCTCACACACCCCAAAGGACCACATGACCCCACCATGCCCTCCAGCCAGGATGGGCTGCCCTTAAACTTGCCTCCTTGACCGGGCACGGTGGCTCATACCTGTAATTCCAGCATTTGCAGATCACCTGAGGTCAGGAGTTCGAGACCAGCTTAGCCAACATGGTGAAACCTGTCTCTACTAAAAATACACAAATTAGCTGGGCATGGTGATGGGCACCTGTAATCCCAGCTACTTGGGAGGTTAGGGCAGGAGAATCACTTGAACCCAGGAGGCAGAAGTTGCAGTGAGCTGAGATCTCGCCATTGCACTCCAGTCTGGGCAACAGAGCGAGACTAGATTCCGTCTCGAAAAGAAATAAAAAACCTGCCCTCATACTCAGCACAGTAGTGCCCTGGGGCAGATGCAGCGGCTGTGGAGGAAAGCAGATCCGGCTTGGCTCCCTTTGAAGAGGGTGTGGCTGCTCTTCTCTACCTAGCCCAGGTGCTGCAGAGGCGAAATGTGGAGTTCGAGGGGCCGTATACAAATGGCAGAGACAGGCCTACAAATGCCTAAAACCTGGGAGGCATGGGTAAGGCTGTGGGTGCTGCACAGGTAGCCCGTTATGGGAGCACATAGGAGTAAGGCTTCATCCCTTGCGTTTCTGCAAAATGCAGATGACCATCTGTACTGGTCCTGCTTCCTTCATAAGGTCATTGCAGTCTCTGCCCCTCACTTCTCCTTCAATAGGGGCAGAGAGGAACGATGAGCTGAGCAGGAGGGGCTTAAGAGGATACCACCCTCCAGATAAGGCTCCTTGTTGGTTGCCTGTTCTCCTGTAGCAGCTTCCAAGATGACCTCCAATTATCCCTGCCTGGTATTCATGCCCTTGTGTGGTCCCCTTCCACAGTGAATCATGGTTGGTATGTATGTGCAATTAAAAAAGACAGAGTGGCTGGGCGCAGTGGCTCATGCCTATAATCCCACCACTTTGGGAGGCCAAGGAAGGTGGATCACCTGAAGTCAGGAGTTTGAGACTAGCCTGGCCAACATGGCGAAATCCCATCTCTACTAAAGATTAAAAAATTAGCCAGGCGTGGGACACATGCCTGTATTCCCAACTACTCATAAGGCTAAGGCAGGAAAATCGCTTGAACCTGGGAGGTGGAGGTTGTGCAGTGAGCTGAGATCACGCCACTACACTCCAGCCTAGGTGACAGAGTGAGACTGTCTCAAAAAAAATAAGGGAGAGTGATGGCATGTGACTTCCAAGGATAAGTCATGGCTTCTACTCTCTCCCCTCTTCCCCTCTCTATTTGCCAGATGCCATTCTGTGGGACACTTAAGTAGCCCTGTGGAAAGGCCCACATGGCAAAGAAGCGAAGCCTTTTGCCAATCACCATCTGAGTGAGGTCACCCTCTCCTCCATCATAGTTCCCCAAATTCTGCAGACGTTGCTACAGGTGAGAGCCCACTGGTAGTGTTGACTCTAGCTCACCCCCAGCCATGAAGAGAGGACCTTTCTCTATGGTGACCAGAACAGCCCTGATTCTAACACCCAAATCCCGAGCAAAACCACTCTCTTCTGCACATCTGCTGTCGGTTCCTCAAGACTGGCCTGTGCCTCCTTCCTTGTAGGCATTAGTATTTCCCACAAATACTTCCTGTTCTCTTCCCTTCCTGGACACACAAAAGGCTATGCATCCCAGTCCCTGTATAGTCAAGTGGGGTCACTGGACTAGTCATTATAAGTCAGCAGCCTATAATGGGAAATAACGTGTGTCCCTTCTGAAATGCAGCCAGGGCCTGATTCTCCAAACATTCTTTCCCTGTTGTGGGAATTGCAGAAGCACATGTTGAGGAGGAGTGCTAGCAGATCAAAGCAGCCCGGATTGGTAAGCTGCCCTAAGGTTTTATCCAGCACCAGAGTGGACTTTGTGTGAATAGAAAATAACTGTTATTTTGTTAAACTACAGCGATTTTGAGCACTGTGTTTGCAGTATAACCTATCCTGACTGATACAGGATTCCTCTCACACTTGGACAACCTTGAAGCCTTATCTACTGTAAACTCCTTATTGGTGTGATACAAGGATCTCTGAACTTGCCATAGTCCAGAAGTAACTGGTTCAACTTCTCGTCCTGCCACTTACCAGCTGTGTGGTTTGGGCAGTCACATTCTCCTTAAGCTTGTTTCTGCAAAACAGAGCTAATAGCTGCCTGTTTTCTCTTATCCCCCACCTTCCCCTTCTCCAACGCATCCTCCCCATCTCTGGCCCAGCTCTGATCATCTAACACCTCATGGTTCTCCACTACCCACCATCTAAAGTGCTAACTCCTTGGCCTGTGTCCCAAGGCCTTCAAAGAGCCAGCACAACCTTTTTTCCAAGCTTAGTCCATATGGCTCCCTGTGCATCCCGTGGAGTCTAGGCAGACCAGACAGCCCCATCCATTCCCCGACAGATCCTTTGTGGTATGGCTCATGCCATAATCTGTCTGAAATGCAACAAACATTTATCAAGCACCTATACTGTGAAACCTTGTTAGGCACTGGGGACATACGAATGAGATAGCTCCTACCTCCAGGCAACACAGTCTGATGGCGACAAGAGACTGAACCAACAGTCTACGCTTGAATCTGTGTTAAATGTCACATAGAAAGACTGTAAGTGGGGTTCTGGGATCAGAGACGTGGCACACCCAAATGCAAACTAATGGAAATGAGAGGAGGCTCCTTGGAGGAAGAGCTTAAGCTGGATTTTGAAGACATATAGGAGTGGCCTGGGCAAATGAGGGTAAGGAAGACATTCTTTGTAACAGGAATAGCACATAAAGTATAGAGAGACTACGGTGGCTTCAGGAAATCAAATACTGTGGTGCAGGTCAAAGGAACAGCACACAGAACCAAAGAGGTAGGCAGGGGCCCCAATATGAAAGGCCTTGATTGCCAAGACTTGGATTTTATTCTGCAGAAGATATTTGGTCATCAAAAGATTTTAAATAGAGGAAGGACTCGGCCACATTTGCATTTCAGAAAGCTCCTGCCAGTCAAAGTTCCCCTCTGACAGTACACTGAAAATCAATTGGAAAGGAATGCTGCATTGGAGGCAAGTGGCCTGTCAGGAACCTCTACAAGTAGAAATAGAGCCTACACCCAAGGAAGGCATAGACAGAAGGATGGAGAAGAAATGAGTTTCGTAGATACTGAAGAGAATACTTACTGCTACTAGTCGAAGACATGAAAATAGATACTCGATCTGGGTGAGAAGAGGTCTAGCAAAAAACTGCTCTACATGCCTATTTATCTGCCACCCTTCCTATCTTTTACTCCTACAATTTTCCCGTCCTTAAATTCTTCCTGATTTCTCTCCCTCCCCTGGTCCTGCCCAGCTGGCTGTGGTAGCCTCCAATGAAGTGTCTTAGGAATCTGCCCCTTCTTTATAGCACCTACCCAATTTTACCTGGAAATTTAGGTACCACTTTCTGTTTTCTCTTTACAACCAGACTGAAGCTCCCAATGGCGCACACCTGTAATCCGAGCACTTTGGGAGGCTGAGGCAGGTGGATCACCTGAGATCAGGAGTTCAAGACCAGCCTGGCCAACATAGTGAAACCCTACTCAGGAGGCCAAGGCAGGAGAATTGCTTGAATCCAGGAGGCGGAGGTTGTAGTAAGCCAAGATTGCACCACTGCACTCTACCCGGGGGGGCAGAGCAAGGCTCTGCCTCTCAAAAAAAAAAAAAAAAAATAGAAAAAATGCACTGTTCTGCCCATGTTTGTGTCTGGCTCCATGCCTGGCACACAGTATGTATTCAGTGGGGCTAAAATGAGATAATGCATGTCGAAGTGCACTCAGTAAACTGTGGAGTGCTACAAACCCTATAGATTTTTAAAAATAATACTCAAGAGCTCCTTACTGTTTCCTCCACTCGCATGGCATCAAAAAGAAATAAAAAGTTTAAAAAATATTTAATAAGTAAATAATAAGAGCATGTAACTTTTTGCAGCTTCTCCATTTCAGCTGCAAATCAGCTTCTGAAGCAGCACAGATCCTTAGGGTCCCAGTTGCCTGGGCTCAGATATCGGTTCACAGAAGAATTAGCACCCACTGGCCTCCTGCACCCAAAGAGGCAGCTCTTGGTAGGCGGGAAGCAAAGGGTGGTATTCGTTTCAGCCAAGAAGGCCAGACCAGTTCTCTGTAGCTCATGTTCTTCTGACTCACACCCCTCAGTCCCATGGGCTGAGTAACTTTTCCAGCCTTGTGATTGTGGAAACTTGTTTCAGAACAGCGGATGTGGAAGGGACACTGGGCGAACCCACCCCAGGTTTCAGAATGGCTCGCGTGTTACTGGAGCCAATACAGCCCACTCGTATCTGTTTGCAGTCTTAAATCACTGTGTCACTGCCTGAAGTCCATTCCCCTACCCTATTTCACAGTTGGTAAAGCAGAGGCCCAAAAGGAAGAGGAGGCGCTAGGAAGCAGCCTCCACACTTCTCCCTGCTAGGTCTAGTTCAGATCAGCCTCGG